AGACCTTCACATGAGTTCACGACATCACCTCTCATATGAATGACTGATTCCAGTGCCAGTGATAGTGACAATAAGCACATAAAGAGGTGCTAACCTTACAGATGAGGTGACACTGAGTGCCTTTGCCGGCTCCGGGCCCTCCCAACACGAACACCACCCATGGCTTGGTCGACATCTGTGAACACATGGCTCGTCTGATCCCACAGTGACTTTCACTCACAAGTAATCGTTGAAGATATGAATACTTCCAATAAGTGCACAGTTTGGGTATTATCATCAAACTGTTGTCAAAACTGTTTCATATCTGTATTGATACGAAAGTCCACTCAAAGTCTATATCATATGAAAAGTGATGTTATATTCAGTTATAAATTGTTTGACAAAACATTTGCAATCGTTTTCAATACAAACATTCATTCATTCATTCATTCATTGCTTTGCTTTCATTCAAAACAATTTCAAACCTAACATCACTTCATTATAAAGTGACACATTGTGCCATCACTTACACATCAATTAGACACACAAATCAATGGTACAAATATACACTCTCTAATGTGCAATGTGTCCTTTTTCGATGAGCTGGCTATTATTGGATGCAAACATAGCATACGTTTTGCATTGACTGAAACGTAAGCCAAACACATGGCGTAAAGTTTTTTTTTAATTTCATTCAGTTTTATGAAAACTTAGTGAAACAATAGGCAATCATTTCGTCACTTGTTTTGTGGACCACTACTCGTATATAACGCTAAGACCTTAGACACCACTCAAGACATGGAGAATCAAGACATTAACAACGAGTGAGTCCAACGAGACATATGTTTTAGTTGCCATCTGAAGACATTAAATATTGACCATAAATTATCTCATATTTCAGGTCAAACCCATCGAAGAAGGCTCTGAAGAAGCAGCAGAAGGCGGCCGATAAGGCTCTGAAGAAGAGTGAGAGAGCAGAGGCCAGGAATGACACGAAGATTGGCGAAGAGGGAGACGCCGAAGACGTGTCTCGCGGCATGTATGGCGTGTCACCGATGATCCGGTCCAGTGATCGACCCAAACGCCAATTGGTTGCCGTGAAAGACGTGAACAAATCGTTGGACAATAAGACGATTTGGTTGAGAGGACGGCTGCACACGA